GACAAACCCATGTAGCTTAATACATGCTGGATCTGTGACATGGGAATAGGGATTAGCTGTTAGAGGACACAAAGGACTTTGTTGAGTTGATGGAATTGTTCTACAACTGAATTGTGGTGATGGTTGGACAACCTTGGAAATCACTATAAATCATTGAATTGTACTCATGCAGTAGGAAAATTTTTTGAAATATAAGTAATCCCCCAATAAATATGTTTTAAAAAGAGCTGAGAAAGTTCATCATATATACAACTCAAGGACTAGAAACCAATTTTCACTATAATATTGTCTCTATAGAAGCTCTTGATTTCAGGGAAATTACTTTCCCCTTGTCAGCCTCCCACCCCTGAAAGCAGGGAAAATGTAATGGTGGAGGAACTTGGAGTTCAGCTCAGGATTCTCACTAACTCAAAAATTTTAACATGGTGGCGTTCTGTCGGTCACAGACCTTCTGACTTCTTAATGGATGCTCTTTTTATTTTATCTTCTGCTCATTTGTCTCACACAAGTGAAAAACCAAAAAACTGGATGAGAATAAGTAGCAGTCTCACAAAAAAAACATTTAATCAGCCATATAGTCAAGTGTTGACCATCTTAAACTACTTACAGAAATCAATAGGAAGATGAGAACCTTTATTCTTAAAGCACAAAGACATTTACAATTAGAACTGTCTTACATGAGTAGATTTTAAGTTTCATTGGAAAAAAATCTCTGAATAAAGCTGTTTCTTTACACCATATAAAGGATTGAGTTGGCAATCTACTTAAGAATTCATTACAGGTATTTTGGACTTCAATTTTTTAGAAGGCTTAATGAAGAGAATGAGACTTCTTGTTGACCATATCACAAGGAAGCTATGGATTTAGATACGAGAAGGACAAACCACATGAGGAAAGTAGTACTTGGGCCCAGCAAATATTGGTTATGTGGCTGGAAAGGGCTCTTAAATGATCTATATTTTAAAGAAGGAAATCTTTCAGGGAATTAGAATCACTCTAATGTTCTTATGATGAGAAGAGGGATTTGTTAAGAGAGAGGATATGCACTGCAACAAACCTAACAACAATTAATGAACTCTTGTTAAAATTTGAGGAGCAATTATGCAGGACACAAATGTGATAGAAATGACAGTGTGGACAATTTAGTACGATATCCTCAGCTGATCTATTTACTTACTACTGTCAACCTGTCAGAATTATCCTGGCAATGGAAAATTCTCTGGGTCTTATTTTTATTTAACCCAAGTGATGATTAGTTTCCCATCATATTCTCTCCAAGTAAAACTTGTCTCACTGAGAAACTCATGACTGAGCTCATGGAGAATGGACATGGTGCTCATCCTGAGATTCAGGCAAGAAGCACTGGTGGGTACCTGTCAGAGATCTTAGCAATATAGATTCAAGGAGAATCCTCAGGACGTTAGTGCTGAAACTCATGTTTATGGATAAACTGGCCTTTCTCTTGTTCTGTATTCTTTCTCTTTTCAGAAACTTTCCGTAAATTATTAAGAAATATAAAATATAAAAATTTATAAACAATAATGGTACATCACAATAAATCTAGAAAGGGAGCAATTATGCCTTGTTCATTCAAGTAAAAAATAATAATAAATGACATTCTGGGTTTCCAATATTGAATTATATAACCAAAACAGTCACTTCAATTTATATTTTAAAATTGTATACATTGAGTAAGGGACATTTCATATTTCAAAACAAATTACTTTTCTGGCAAGAAACCTAACCTCATTCTGAAAAATCAGTATCAATGTAACACTATAAAAACTCTTACCCCAAAATTAAACAGTCTAAAAGAATTGCATTCTTAGAGTCATCAAATCCAACTTTTTCAGTGTGTTCCAGTAAAAGAGATTAGGTAATTTATAAAAGCTAGAAACAGGTTCTAAAACCTGTTTGTAGACCACTGATTAAATTTTTAAAAACAATCTGGATGAAGTGGTTTCATCGAAACATAAAGATACAGGTATACACACATACACAACATACACTTTTGATAAAAATCTGATCAATGCAGTTCAAGGGAAACATATATAAATTTACTTAATGTATGGTGACAGTCTACCCACAAACCTCAGACTTCTGAACCTTACCCACAGTCAAGAAAATCAGAATCTTTCTGATTTGGGGCCTTGAAGTCTAATTTCATACACAAACCAGGAAATTTATGTACACTAAAGTTTGAAAAAATTGCTGTCACTGTAAATGTGTGTTTGCTTGAATTAAAACCTTTGCCACAACTTGGGCATTTGGAGGTGTATTGGGAAACAGATTAATGTGAAAAAAACAAAATATGATTTCACATACACAGGATCATCTACTTAATCAATTGAGTTCTAATAAAAGATTGTTACAAATTAGAGATCAGAAATCATGGTTTCCCATGGGTGAATATAGGTTCATCAGTTGATCTCTACTCCTAGAACACATCATAATTTAATAACATAATAACAAAAATAATTTTTTATGTTAATAAGATGACTGAAGCACATTCAAGAACATGATAAAGGAATGATTTATATGACAATGTGAGTTACAGCTTTGGAAATCAATGCACACAATACACATGTCCTCAGTAGGCTCATGCCTTGGAGTACCTAATTTACTTAAGAGATATCATTCTCATGCAACACTCATGTTGCCCTGCAAATGTATTTGAGGGTTAAATATACCAGTAGTTAAATTCCTCCACAAAATATCACCTGACTTTTACTGCTACTACAGTGGAAAGTTAGACAACTTGCGCTCTTTGGAATTGAATAGTGGCCCCCATAACAGGTCAATTACAGCAGTAGATAAGTAGTTATGGTGATAAGCATTATACACTTCATCATAAAAAATATGGTTAAGGCTTCCTGTCTTGTTCAGTCAGAACATAGAAAGTCATGAGAGGCCAATGTTCCCTTGGCAAAAATATGATAAAAGACAGCAAAGTACAAAAATTATGTATTTAAAAACCTTAGCTCTCTGTAATTAATAAATACTAAATTAACTAAAATTCCAAAGAGGAAAGAGCCTTCTGCAGGTTAAGTATCCTTGGTTCCCTTTCCTGGGTACATTTGCTAAATCTACTTTAGGCCAGATTCTGACACCCTAGTGCCGGAGGCTAAAGAACTAAAATCAACACCTCTGCAGAGAAGAATGTCCAAATGAAGGGCTGAGGAGAAAGATCTTTCATGTTCTCAGTGGAATGTGGATGGACCAGAGGCAGACTTTAATCAAGTTAAAATGGCAACTCAGACTAAACCAAGTTAAGCACTAATTTGGTACGAAAAGCTAAGGGGAAAGTAAGATTTTCAGCTATAGAGTCAGACAGACAAGGGTTTGAATCATAGTGCTAACACTTACTGCTTATTTGCTCTTTAGAGTTAAGTTTACTGTGCTCTAATTCCTATATGCTCATTTATGAAATATCACCGACCTTATAAGGATTTGTTAATAATCTTGCAGAAAATTCACATAAAATTCTAATGCCAATATCTTGTAGACAGAAGGTACCAATATTCATTCTTTTAAGCATAATATTCCTTTTCCCACTCCTAACCTAAACTTGTTTTAGAAGACATAGGGAGAAAGGAGGGAAAAATGAATGTTTATTTCTAGATGAAAGTCACCTCCTCCATGCCCCCCGGGGATGTTATGCATTCTGAAGGGAGGAGGTGCTGTGCCAGGAGGAGTCATGGGGACTGAGAAATCCTCTCCCAATGCTGGAGTCAGAGCCCCTTATATTCTTGTTTAAAGAAGCAGTGATGAAAGAAATTATTTGTGTTTCTCAGGAAAGGTGAGCAGAGCTATGAGCATATGGAAATGAAGCAAGTGAGGCAGCCAGCCACCCTAAATTGGGCACCAATCAGCAGAGATGTACACAGAAGCTGGTGGGTGGTGTGGCAGCCTCCACACTACTTCCAGCCTCAGACAAGCTGCATTGCTCCCCACTCAGCCAGACTTAATGCCAGAAACCCAGACTATGGATGAGCAGCAAACATCATGAGCAGCGATAGAGTCAGAAAATTTAACTGATAAAATTTCCTACTTGCAATAACTACAATGTTATAAATACATACATGTATGGTAAGGACTAAACGTAACAAGAAATGAGCTGGCACACATAAGAACCACATGTCTTTACCAAATGATCTGGGAAAAGAAAACACAAATAAATGGTGTGACATATTTCTGAATGGGACTATTCAGTTGATAAGGGTCTCAGTTTTAAATTACCTTTAAAGGAAAACTTACAATAATAACAAAAAAATTATTTCTGCGATTTTATAACTTTATTTTAGAAATTATACATCATAATTTTGAAAGTGAAAAAGCATACTAGGAGAACAAATATGACATTTTACACAACTCGACTTATGTGCATACAATTATTTAGAACATGATAATGTCCATTTTAAACAGGAAGAAAATGATGGACTATTCAATAAACAATTTGAGTCATTTTTTTATCTATTAGAAGAATAATTTTTTACGACATAAGCATATATAGGTCAAATGAAGATATGATATATGACTACATTAAAATGTTTGGAGTGTCAATCCTAAGTTAAACATAAAACCTAAAAGAGTTAAAATAAAAGTTTCACTCACATGGGTATGGAAATATTAAGTTCTTTAACATGAAAACTGACATGCAGTGTTTTATAATAGTCAAACCTTCCATTATAACATAGTAAATTGATCACATTCTGAATTCTTCTTTTACTCAAGAACTGAGGAATTACTTGAAAGTAAAATACAATATCCGTAATTATACGCTAACACAATAAGGAGAATACTTTTTTCATCAGAAATGGGTGAACCCAGGAACTGGAAAACAGGCGGCATATGCCAAATGATGTAGAATTACTCTATTAGTATTTATTAATCATTAAGGTTTTCAATTGTGATCCAAGAATAGTTAAAGATTACAGTGTATTGTTAAATGTTTCTTTCTGAATGTGCTCTCTTAAAATATTTGGGTTGAGCTTAGGATTCTATTCTTCATTTATATCCCAGATGAACTTCAAGGGTAAATTCTTCATCTCCTTTTGGAAAATCTTGTCAAATCTTTCATTCTGGGCAACAGTCATGTGATTTTTCCAGTCTCCAATGGTACCTGGGGGGAGATACAATCCAACTACTTCAGTGAAGTGTCTGGGCTGGGGGTGCTGGTGTGGGACCTTAGCACTGGGGGAACATGATTTTCCCACTTTTGTTTTTCTCTCCCCTCTAAGTTCTTGGTTCCTCCTCCCCATGGCCCTGTCTTCACTCTCTCACTTTATAGAAAGCTGGTAAACAAACTTTTCATTACAATTACACTGTAATTTGTCTCCTTTCTAAGATGTCAGCCACCTGGAAAAAAAAGAAAATCACTGCAAATTAATCACTCTTTAATTCCACAATAGCGCTGCTTACTGTATTTTTTTTAAAGTATTATAAAAATCCCATATCAAATATAAATGAATTAATATTTACTGATGAGGATATGGATGTTATAAGAGATGTAAAAATATAGCAGAGGTCATAGAGAGTAGAAAGGCAGGGCTGAAATTATTCCATATTTACTCAGTTTAGGTATGACACAGCCTGGTACTAAACTTACAGACATTCAAAATTGTGATGACAAATAGAAGCTTAGAGAAGGAGAGGAAGAGAAGAAACACTGACTTCTAAAATACATGGAATGGAATGAAAATAAAAATATGAAATAAACTGAAACTCAAAGAAATCTTAATGCAGCTGTGGTCATACAATGCAAATGACCTTCAAGAAGCTAACTTCAATGAGCAAAGTGTGTGTGAAACGTGGGAATATGCTCCAATTCTACAAAGAAATTTTGCTAAGTCTGACTTCCCTTATTTACCAGTTCAACCTCTCTTGTTCAGGTTTGTTAAAGATACAGATACACAGAAAGTTTTCTTTTTTTAAACAAAATTTAAATGCAAGTACAGCAATAATGACAAATGACAATGGTTTTAGCATCTAGAACACAACAGTCTATGCTGGGGCCAAAGGGAAAGGACACTCCTCCTCTTCAGATAGGTTCTTTGTTACCACTGCTTCAATTTCTTAAGAGAAGGGGGAAAATGTACCTAATAGATGAAGGGATACAGTAAAAAACTTTAAGAAAACAGTGTTTATTATTACTTAATACAGAGGCATAGAACTCTATAATTAAAGAAAACTATGTATCTATAATTCTGTATTACACAGTCTACTCATCCTCAGTTAAAAGATCGTATGGTATTATTTGGAAAGATTATATAATAAAAATAATTCAGTATGATCAACTGTATCATTTGTATAATGATTTAATTCAATCAAAAATATCATTCACCATTAGGCCAGATAAATGAAATATTCCTCTAAGTTGTTATGAGATTCAGATTTAAGATACATAATACATACATAATAGCCACTTCTCATAGCAAAGAATAGCAAATGTGTACTCTTAATTCACACCAGAATTATGTTCAGAAAATATTGTGGAGATGTAAATGCAGCCAGTGAGGGCTAACAGGCCCATCACTAACTCATTATCACAACTGTGGCCATGTTAATGAAGGGACAGTGTCTAACACTGAATGAACATCCATTTTGTTGCAGGTTCTGTGCTAGGCATTGGTAGATTTGTAGGGGACATGTAAAGACCTGTGATTGTAGGTTACTCTTCAGTAGGTCCCCTTCAGGGACCAAATAATATCGTCTCATAAAGAGCATGGATCAGAAAGCACAGAAAAATCAACTGTGTGGAGGAGGGAAGGGGTCAAGCAGTGCTCCATTTTGGTAAACTCTGGCAAGAGGTCCAAAAGCTGCACTTAGGATAATTTACTTCACAAAACAAAAAAATTCATGCTGAACTTCACCTTTGCGAAGGAAATGGCCATGTGTCCTTCTAATTTCAGGTCGCTTGATTAGTGCATTTTCATAATTTGCACGTGGGTCAGACTTCATGTTTTCAAACGTGGCTTGAGTCACAACAGCATCCATGTCTTCCTTACTCAATTCTCTCCCCAGAAATTTACAGACTTTTAATATAGAACTTCTCAGATCCTTAAGTAAAACACAGACTAATAATAATACATTAGGAAAATCATAACAAATAAGATTTATACAAATACCACAATGAAATAACAACATGGAATGAAATATGTAGTTCCTTAGGCTGAATATACATTTGGAATTAAACAGTGAAAAGGGACTTCATTATTCTTTCTTGGTAAATTAATTTTTCCTTTGTCAATATCTATAGTTTTGCTCCTAATTTTGGTTTATTTCTAGGGCTCTCACATTTCATTTTATCTTTGTTCAACAGGCAAACCTTGTGAGAGTAGCTACTTTTATATCAGACACTGGTTGACAGTACAACTGACCATAGGGATAGCAATGGAATCAGAGCTTGTATTGAGTATAACAACACATGGGGAGAGAGTCAGTGTGCAACAGATTTCAGAGAAAATTTCAGGGAGCAAGAAAAATATGTCGTAGGTCTTAAATGGAAACAGAGTTTTCCTGGGGAGGCAAAGTTGGAAATACATAATCCAGACTAAAGGGTCAGTATATACAATACTGTGGTTGCACGGAATGTGTGAGATATCAGTTCACAGAAAAGTTAGATATTCAGATTCCCTGCAGGTAGCTGGGAATAGGCCAGGGATGAGAAGGTCAGAAGTGTCTGGAGGCACTGGAGGAAGCCCTATTGGGAGGAGGGTTGCAAACCCAGCCAGATACTTGAATCTCTCTTGGTAGCTGATATGGACTCAACCAGAGATACTGGGCTTCTATCATGACCTAGAGGGATATTTTGACATAAGCTGGATGTGAACATTCAGCTGGTGCCACCATTAGTCTTTGCCTGCATTTCAGCTCATCCTCTTCTTTCTTGCTGAAAGACCCCTGGTGGTATCCTGGCAGCAGTTCTAGGACAGGTCCTGTTTGAGCTGAGATCCTAATGACAGTATCACTCTCCTTTACATAGATTAGTCTAGAGAGGTGACTGATGCACTTTCGGCATTGAAACACAAAGACAAAGTCAAATTGAAGCTTCTGAGATTAACTTTCCTCCTGGGCTTAAGCTGGGAACAGAGCAAGGGAAAAAGCCTTTTATGTTCCTGTTCCTTCTATTTCCACTTGGGGTGCTGTCTATCGTATCCTCATAGGACATAAGATTGGTGTCATGAAAACCATCTTGCAAATATGTGAGGAGGACCAATGCCACAGCAAATATGATAAAAAGAAAATAAAAAATTCTAGGAACAGTCATGACATCCTTTAGCTGCCATACCCAGCATGCCTCTCAATTTCAGTCAACAAATAAGAGCTATCCTTTTGCTTCAAAATACTTATTATCGACTGTTGTTAGGAGCTGAATTCTTCCTAATGAAAGACACACATTTCATTTAAATTCTCCTATCAGGCTTACTCAACATAAGGGACACAATATTAAATTTCAAAACAAATGAATCCCAGTGTGATAAACTAAATCCAAAATGTTAAAAGGATGAAGAATGCAGAATCTAGAAGGTTTAAAGCAAGACTGAGAGAGCAATATTCAGATTCAAAATAATGAAGCATATGAAGGCATGCATATACTAAGAAATCAATCACACACATATTGTTTTTTGAAAGGAAATTTAAGTCTAGTACTGGAAACGACAACCTGGTAAATAGAATATGGAGATGACACAGGAAAAAGTCTCCATAACACTACCTCTTGGATCTCTAATTCAGTATTGTCCTTGAAGATTCTATGAACTCATCAATTCATTAGGCCAGGCTGGGTTACAACTTAGATTAAAATAGAACTATAATCTCATCTCACCTTTATCATGTCCTCATACATTATGAACTGAATATTGAAGTGATTTTTGTGCTCATACCAACCTCTGACATGGTCAAACCAAAGACTTCCCATTACTGTGGGAAGATAGAGAAGAAATTAGATAAATGTGTTGAACATGTTGAGAAATAAACTATAGCCTTCTTATGAGGTACAGGAAAGTTTAATAACAAAATAAGGAAAAGGAAATCTGTTGCTAGATTGCCATTTGTTCCCTGTCACCTGACTAACAGGAGAATCACCCCTTTGCCACCAGGAAAATATTATAGGCATTAAAGGATAAATTGTTTTTCTTACAAACATGTTTTATATAAACAGAAAAGCATTTTAAAGTTGGAATAGGAAGGACAAAAATCCAACAACAGTCATAAGACCAAATCCTCTCTAACCCACTCCTTCCACTGACCCCAAAGGCACATAGAGCTGCTCCGCTCAGTGAACCATGTAGGCTCCTGATTAGTCTCTTCAGCTCTGCACAGGGGTGCAGAACCTAAGCTTACCTCTCCTGTGCCAGACCATCATCTCTGTCTCAGCAGGCCTTTCTCTTGCTCAATAAGCTACACTGACTTCTCAGAACACAATGCAGAACCAAACTTTGTCCCAAAGAAGCCTCTGGAAGATTCCACATGCACTATGTTCTGCCAAAGCCCTGAACCTACTGTGATCTACACTGAGCCACCTTTTCAGCTGAGCTGTAACAGAGACCTCTGAGTTTCTGATCTGTTCACACTCCCATCATGATCAAAGATAAATATTTACTTGTAGTATAACTTTGTGATCTTGACAATATGCTGAGTTTGAATGACAGTGAGTATTTGTATCTAAGATAACCTCACCAATGGCTTAATAAATTTTCCACTGAACCCATTCTACTCTATTTCAAAGTCTCTTTTCCTCTGCCAAATTCACTAAACTGAAAACTTCTCACAGGTCTGAAGTTACTTCTAGTTTATAAGCTCAGTTACCTTTTCCTTCTAAAAAGAGTTCCATGAATTCTTCCATATTGCCAGATGGTTTCAATGTTTTCATCAAGTTTGAAAAATGAAAAAATGAGCACATAACATCTTTAGGGTTCCTGTACACATAAATAATCTGCAGGAAAAAGAGTAAATCATTGTGTTGCTTTCATTCCATCATCATTTCCCCTGAAGGCACTTCAGTTGGATGGGACCCACTAATGTTAGTATTGATAACCTCCCAACCATGTTGTACATACTCAGCTGTCGCCTTTGTATTCATGTTTCTCATTCCCTCAATGCCTCTCCCTCCCTGCTTGACCTAGACTGTCAATCACTCTTCAAGACTCATCTCAGGATTTAAGTCTTCTTAACTTCCCAGGTGGAGAGATCAACATCATTCTTTTCCCCTGCAATAAATAGCTAATGCAGGTGTAAGTGCTTCAAAAACTATAAAATTCTATGAGAACTGGAACAACTTACTAACACATTTCAATAACAAATAAAACTCAAAGTGTGTTTTTCTTATCTTTCAGAATATGCTTACCATCTTCATTATGTAGAGAAAATATAACTGCTTGACTCACACGGGTTACTTGTCAAGTATTTTTTTACATCGAAGGAATAGAGGGTTCACTTAAAACATTGTTTATGATAATCAACCAAAAGAAATAATTACTTAACAACAATAAGATAGCTAATCTTATTGGAATATAAAATATCATTAATATCTGCCCAGCTCATTTAAAGGACTTATTCTGTTTGTGCACAGAACATTCAGGGTCACTTGGTAAATTAAACCCCAGGCCTTGCATCTCTACTGAGAATTGACATATGTATCTTTTGTTTCTCCCCTGTGTTTAGGTAAAGAGAAGATGTCATCCACCTGCCACCTCCCTGTGCTTTGCCTGGAGACAACTCTTCACTCTGGAAAATGAGTTGATGGATTCTTGGTATGTCTGTGCTAATTTCATTCCTAAGTGACTCACACTGCCTGAAAAGAGAGCCCTGCAGCACTTGAATTATATCATGAAAGTCTTTGAAGTATCAAACAAGCATCAATGATGACTGATATTCTGTAAAGAAATGAATAGCACTCCTCCAGAGGGTAAAATGTGAAGACAAGAAGACACTTTCAGTGGTTTGCTATGATGCTTTGTGTCACTAACTACGGTTTGGGAATTACTTCTTGTCATACATCCCTTTGCTTATGTAAAGGTGACAGTGGTATCACAGAGTAAAAGGTACTGCCTTTTTGGGTAAACAAGCATGCAAGTTATTAGTATAGGAAAACTGAGAAGTTCATATCATCTAGAATTAAAGTGAGAATTTACCATACACATTTTACTTTAAGATGTCGTATTAGATAATGCATCCTAGGTAATAAGTGCAGAGGGAGAGGAGGAGAAGGCCAGGTCAGATACATCCAGGAGCAGCACTTAGAGGTTAGCCAGGGAAGGAGAAGCCAAAAGGAGGAAGGAACATTTTCTCAGATGCTCACTGTCCATTAGAGAAAACCCTAAGTAATTCAGGGATGGATTTTTCTGACAAAACACAGATATTAGAGTCAACAAGTTAGGTTAACTCATTATCCCAAGGTGTTCAAGCAGTTTAAAGGCTTCCCACATTTATACACTGACATGCTAACTTAGGAAAAGAAAACATGTAAAGAAGGAGAAAATAATCACCTATGTCAGATGCCATGGATAGGCCAAAAAAGATGATAGAAAATTGAGTCCTTGGTTTGTAAAATAAAATAAATATGTGATATTGATTTTGAGGCATCAATGAAAGTTGGAGGCAGAAACCAAATTGAGTAAGATTAGCTCAAAGAACAGAAAAGCAACTGTTAAAAATCAATATGGAGAAAGAAGAGTTCCATCTCTTTCAAAATGTGTGACATGACAACTTGATTATGTGTCAAAGAGAATGATCAGGAAATAGGAAATTGATGATGAATTGAAAAAAGGAAATCAGTGCTCACGCCATATCTTTAAGGATAGAACAAAGTTACTAGAGGGGCCCTTCTGACATTTTGGAACAATGAGTGCTCTCTGCAGGTCTGCCCTGTAAAATGTAGCATATTTAATAGCATCTGTGGCCTCATCTCACACCAAACCAGCAGTACCAGCACAACCCTAACCAAAAATGCCTCCAGACAGTTCCAAATATCCAATAGAGACAAAACCACCCTATTTGAGGCACACTGGGATCAACAAAAACAGACTCTGACCACAAATGGAGAGGATAATCTCTAATAGTTGTGGGCACCATCTACACACTGCAGCTTTTCTTTTAAGAAGGGAAGGTGGTGAGAGGACACCAGTGGGGGTAACATTCTGAATTGGAGGTCACTCACTGGGGCCGGTGGAGGCACAGGGCAAAATGTTGTTGTGGTTTCTAAAGAGGAAAGAAAGTATCATATATTCATTTTGTAAACCAAAAAAGTGAAATACTTCAAGTAGTAGAATTTGAGACCTTTGGCAATAGATTAAAGGCCAGGTATAACTTTGAAGTATTTATGTTTTACCCTAGTCATTCAGGTCTCTGAGCAAAGTAGGAATGCATTCCAATTGTGTTTTAAGAATTAGGGTTTGTCAGCTGATGAATACAGAGATAAATGGAGCAAGTGGCTTTAGAAGGAAGTGAGTATAGTGCAAAAATACAGTGAGAACTGGAACTCTTTGCTCCAGGGGACTGTAGGAGATGGATCCCGAATGACACTTACAGGAACTGAGATGGGAACATCAGAAAAGACTCGGCAGACTAGGAGGCAGCATTCTGAACAAGGTGTTTGAAATCATGACATAATTAGTGCAATCATTGATGAATTCTTCATCCAAATTCACTACCTGAGGTCCAATGTTCTCAGCATTGTGAACACAGCCCTGAGAAAACCTCTACCTCTCTCATGGTTTTCACTCAGTTCAAAAAAATAGACAATAAGCTAATATTTATACATATTAAATCAGAAAGCAATGAGTGCTATGAGTTAATGGTGGTTTAAAAGAGGGCTAGAAGGGGAGCTGAGGTTGGTGGAGGAAAGATGACTGGTGTTGGAAATTTCACACTGAAGTTGGTAGGGTTGGGAATAGAAGGAGGCCAGGGCAGAGCCTGGAGGGCAGACTTAAAGGAGGCATTTGCTGCACCCTGAAAGTGATGTCCTCCTTGGAGTTCGGGCCCTGGTGTCTTTCTGGCCTCTCCTGGTCTGGGCCTGCCTGAACACCATTAACATGAACCTTAAAATTATCCCATGAGTGATGTGAGCCAAAGTGGAAAGTAAGGTAATGAGTCAAGAGCTGAAATTTTTAATCCATGGTAATGATTGATCCAGGAAGGATGGACAAGAGGGAGAGAGAATTACTCTTTAGAGAAGCCTGACTTGTTCTAAAGATCCTTTGATTTTTTAGAGAAGCCTGACTTGTTCTAAATATCCTTTGATTTTCATGGAAGTTGAGATTTGAGGGAGAATGGGAAATAAGTTGGGAATATCCAAGGAAGCAGGGAAGACCCTAAAGGGAAAGAGGAAAGACATTCCTAGTATTTTATGTATATACTTAGTGATAGAGCTAATTTAAAATTAGAGACATATATTACATATATATTATATATATGTATAATATAATCTTTAAAGTAAAATCTATGAATGTATATGTATGCTTTACTTTTAAATGATCTGTATTATATAATGAGAAAAGGATAAGGTGAAAATAAAATTAAATATTACAAATAAGAATGCAAATGCTAATGAAAATTATAGTGTGCAAAATAGCAAATTAGATAACAATTGGATGCATGTAGTATCAGTGTAATGGAAAATGAAATAGTGAAAAGAACAATCTTTGAGCAGGCATCGTCTCTTTCCTACTTTGGCTTTTTTCTTCTTCAGCCCTCTGGGCACCAAGTAGTATGGAATGTGGCTACAGAACAGACGAGGAGATGGTCTTTTGTCAAAGTCACTTGGTGGAAGATAGTATTCAAGAAAGGGGACTAGATCAATTGTGTCCACATTTGCAGTTCTTTTGCGATGCTCTTCAAAATAAACCAGGCTCAGTAACTGCTGAACCCACATGGTTCCTGTAAAAGAAATAATTTTGTTTTTAACTTCGGGAAGTTCTCAAAATGTCCAAAACTATAGCATCAGTTTTTAAGTTGTGTATGTTATGTTATTCAACTAGGGATAATGATAATATCTGCATGGATTATTTTACATATGTAAAGTGAAGTAAGGGTAAAAGACAATAAAGATTGCTTTTGTTTACCTTTTAAGGAGGTGGCCCATTCAAAACTCCCAGGGCATTTGACACAAATGCATTATTTGATGCATTGTCTTTTCTTTCTTTTCTTCATATGGTATCTTTACATTACCTCTAGGCCTACCCCTATATTTTTTTCCTCATTTCCACTCCCTGATCACTAGCTAATTAAGCACAGATAAGAAAAACCCTCCAAAGAAGGAACTTTTAATCTTTCTCACCTTCCTCCTGTTTTCTCACTTTGCCCATGATCGCTACTTAAGGAAATTTGTCTACTACAAATACCTAAAGGAAAATCTATGACAACCACAAAGAAAGAGAAAGATGCTACCTGAAGTTGGACCCTGGATTTCTGTGGAATCTGGAAATTTTTATGGTGATTCTCTGAGTTAATTCCAATTAAAGTGGACATTAGTGACCAAATATGTGGGTTTAATTACCTGTGTTCATTTCCTTACATTTCTTCACAAGCTACATATATGGGACTAGTTAGTTTTAAAACACACCCACTAATAAGGTCATGCTTCTGGTATTTCCCAGCTTGTGTTTTCAGGCAGACTTACCTCACTGAAACATCCTGTGCCCCTGTCTGGATAATAATCTGAGTTCTAAAATGAGTAAATATATGGGCCCCTCATCAATTTTATGCTAGCCTTCCTTCCCAAATGCTTCCGATGTCACCCGGGAAGACTATGACCACTTGTGCCTACATATATTAGCACAGCTGGAGCAAAACTTGATTAAAATTCTATGTATGGATCTCTGATAGGTTTTCTTACATAAATCTTAATTTCCCAGTTAATAGATACTGCTCCTGTGGAGGTATCACAACTTCAGGATGTGACATTATTTATTCAGGATTTATGACAGACAGGATACCACTCATGACCTATGAGGCCTCAGGTCTCCAGAAATTCAAGAATATGAGCACTGCAGCAAAGTGTCCCCCAGGCAACACAGGCTGCACTTCTTCTCCCTCTTCTGCTGCTCCTACTGCTCTCACTTTCCCAGCCTGTCCATCTCTTTACACTTTTTTCTCTTTTTGCCCTTTTCATGTCTGAGGTGATAAATTATATTACATTTTCCTCAGTTCGTGCCAGATTGCCATCACATTTCATCTCAGACACTGCCTTTTTAGATGTCTTGCTTGTAATTTCTGCATTGGACATTTGGCTCAGAAGCTCTTCCCCACATAAAGTCACAATGATTTTTATAACAGAAATAGCTTTATAGCTTACCCTTTATATTAATGTCTAAAATACAATCAGAATTCACTCTTGGGTGGGATGATAGATATTCAGTTGCATTTCCTCCATGTAGTGAGGCAGCTCTCCCAACACTAAGGACTCAACCTTTCTTCATTAATAGTTGAGCCATGATTAAATTTCCTGCCCCGGTGACCTATTTGTTCTTGTGCAAGTACTATATGGGATTCTGTAGTGGGACTTTGTAAAGTATAAGAAACATAAATATGCAAATATGTGGTATATTACAAGGCGATAAATGTATTGTAGAGAGAAAATAAAGCAGCAAGAGAATGCTGTTTTTTTTTTGTGAGGCTGGTTCTTTAAATATGACCATCCAGAATGACTTCATTGAGAATGTAATAACTTAACAAGTACCCATAGGTGGGAAAAAAATGTAATTTATGCAGATAACTGGGGAGTCCATTATAGGAAGAACCATTCAGTGCAAAGAGTCTGAGGTGGCAATGTGCCTTTTATATTTGAGTAAAATCAGTAAAACCAATATTTCTCTGTTAAAATATTTCAAATGTTTTCAAAAAATTCTTTGGGTATTAATACTAGCCCCTTTAAAACTCATCCAAATATTAGAAGATGAGAGAACACTGTCAAACTCATTTTACAAAGCCAGCATTACATGATAATAAAATCAGACACAAGGACACTACAAGAAAAGAAAATTACAGACCACTATTTCTAATGAACATTGGTGCAAAAATACACAGTAAGAAATGAGCAAACTGAATTCAACAATTCATTGAATGGTTAGATAGTAAAGATGGTGCCGTTGAACCTTTGGTAACCATGAATCTAAAGCCTGAAATAGCAATAAGTACATACCTAATGCTAATCACTCTAAATGTAAATGGACTGAATGCACCAATCAAAACACACAGAGTAATAGAATGGATAAAAAAGCAAGACCCATCTATATGCTGCCTACAGGAGACTCACTTCAAGCCCAAAGACATACACAGACTAAAAGTGAAGGGGTGGAAAAAAGATATTTCATGCAAATAAAAGGGAGGAAAAAGCAGGATTGCAATACTTCTATTAAATAAAATATACTTCAAAACAAAGAAAATAATAAGAGACAAAGAAGAATATTATATAATAATAAAAGGGTGAATCCAACAAGAGGATATAACCCTGATAAATATCTTTGCCCCCAACATAGGAGCACCCAAATATGTGAAACAAATGCTAACAGAATTAAAGGGGGAAATAGAAAGCAATTCATTCATTTTAGGAGACTTCAACACAACACTCACTACAAAGGACAGACCAGACAGAAAATAAATAAGGAGACAGAGGCACTGAACAACATACTATAACAGATGGACTTAACACACATCTACAGAACACTCCACCAAAACATTCTTCTCAAGTGCATATGTAACATTTTCCAGAATAGATCACATACTAGGTCACAAAAACGGGCCTCAAAAATTCAAAAAGATTGAACTTGTATGAACCAACATTGCAGACCACAAAGGTATGAAACTACAAATAAAAAGTGCAAAGAAAACAGAAAAGCCCACAAACACATGTAGGCTTAAAAACATGCTCCTAAAAGCTGAACAGATAGTTCTCCAAAGAAGAAATTCAGATGGCCAACAGACATATGAAAAGATGCTCCACATCGCTAGTCATCAGAGAAATGCAAATTAAAACCACAATGAGATATCAACTCACACCAGTAAGGATCGCCACCATCCAAAAGACAAACAACAACAAATGTTGGCGAGGTTGTGGAGAAAGGGGAACCCTTCTACACTGCTGGTGGGAATGTAATTAGTTCAAGCATTGTGGAAAGCAGTATGGAGGTTTCTCAAAAAGCTCAAAATAGAAATACCATTTGACTGAGGAATCCCACTTCTAGGAATTTACCCTAAGAATGCAGCAGCCCAGTTTGAAAAAGACAGATGCACCCTTATGTTTATCATAGCAGTATTTACAATAGCCAAGAAATGGAAGCAACCTAAGTGTCCATCAGTAGATGAATGGATAAAGAACATGTGGTATGTATACACAATGAAATATTATTCAGCCATAAGAAGAAAACAAATCCTACCACTTGCAACAATATGGATGGAGCTAGAGGGTATTATGCTCAGTGAAATAAGCCAGGTGGAGAAAGACAAGTATCAAATGATTCCACTCATATGTGGAATATAAGAACAAAGGAAAAACTGAAGGAACAAAACAGCCGCAGAATCACAGAATCCAAGAATAGACTAACAGTTCCCAAAGGGAAAGGGACTGGGTAGAATGTGTGGGAAGGGAGGGATAAGGACAGGAAAGAAGAAAGGGGCCTTATGATTAGCATGTATAATGTTTGTGGGGAGCACGGGGAGGGCTGTGTAACACAGAGAAGACATGTAGTGATTTTGCAGCATCTTACTATGCTGCTGGACAGTGACTAATGGGGTATGTGGGGGGGACTTGGTAAAGGGAGGACTCTAGTAAACATAATGTTCCTCATGTAATTGTGGATTAATGATACTAAAATAAAAAACAAACAAACAAAAGAAAACATGCTCCTAAATAATCAATTGGTCAATGACCAACTGAAAACAGAGATCAAACAATATATGAAGACAAATGAAAACATCAGTTCAACACCCCAACTTCTATGGGACATGGCAAAGGCATTTCTAAGAGGAATGTATACAGCAATAGAGGCTTATCTTAAGAAAGAATAACAAACCTAGATGAACAGTCTAAACTCATAATTAATGAAACTAGAAAAAGAAGAACAAATGAGGCCCAAAGTCAGTATAAGGAGGGACATAATTGAGATCAGAGAAGTAATTAAAATTGAGAAGAATAAACAATAGGAAGAATTAATGAAGCCAGGAGCTGGTTCTCTGAGAAAATAAATAAAATAGATAAACCCCTAGCTAAACATAAAAAGAGAGTTTACACACATAAACAGATTCAGAAATGAGAAGGAAAAAATCACTATGGATGACACAGAGATACAAAGATTTATTAAAGAATATGATGAAAAATTGCACATTAACAAATTGGATAATCTAGAAGAAATGGAGAACTTCCTAGAAAAATACAACTTTCCAAGACTGACCCAGGAAGAAACAGAAAATCTAAAGAGACCAATTACCAGCAAAGAAATTGAATTGGTAGTAAAAAAAAACCACCTAAAGACAAAAACCCCAGACCAGATGGCTCATCACTTAATTTTATCAAACACTTAGAGAATACCTAATACCCATATTCCTTAAAGTTTTCCAAAAAGTAGAGGAGGAGGGGATACTTCCAAACTCATTCTATGAAGTCAGCATCAATCCTATAACAAAACCAGGCAAAGATACCACAAAATAAAAAAATATAGACCAATATTCCTGATGAGCATAGATGTAAAAGTCCTCAATAAATATAAGCAAACCAAATTCAAAAATACATATAAAAGATTATCCATCATGATCAAGTAGGATTTATTCCAGGGATGCAAGGATGGTACAATATTCGAAAATCTATCAACATCATACACCATATTAACAAAAGAACAAAAATCACATGATCATCTCCATAGATGCTGAAAAGCATTTGACAA